TTGTACTATTTTTATTGTTCTTGAAATTCAAAATCCAAAAGCATGGGTACAAAAGAAAAAATTTTTAAAAAGAGAACAAAAACAAGCAAACAATGGCTTTGTAGCACAGAATGAGGAATTCAGGGGCTTGGGGCTCACTTAGGAAAGGACTCCTGTTGTTACTGTGCCCATTGGCCCTGACACTCCTCTTAACAGCAAAAAGTGCTTGTTAAATAATCTCACTGAAAGGAAAAGTCAGTTTTCCAAATGAGAGCGTAAAGTTGGCCTCATTTCGGAAATCTCTTCCTGGTTTTCTCATGATCTTTCCTTGATTATTTTGTTGGTTTGACATTAGAGCTAAAAAAACAACAACAAACTTGTATATTTTTTTCCTTTTCAAATTTACTTTTAAGGCCGGCAGCACCACTTCTGACCTCCAACAATGAGAAGATGCCAGGATCCAGTACCGAAGCCAACAGACCTTACGGTACAGTCACGGTTTCCTGCCGTTACTAAGAGGTTTCCCAACTTGCTACCCCTCTTAGAAGCGGGTGGTGGGGACAAGTTCCTAGGGAAGCCCCACCCTCAGGCAGGACAGTTTCACCTAATCAGCCACTGGATGGTGAATTGATAAGCAAAACAGAACAGAAAGGCAGGACATTTTACTCTAATTTCACCACCTTCTAAACATCCGAGGAATGAAAGGTGGACAATAATGATAATGCTGTGAATCCCCATCCTGGCTCATCTTCAAAGACTTTGAACACTGTCCGAGCGTAATCACCCTCCCCTTGTAAGAGAGGCCAGAGAACAAATTGAGGCATTGATAAAACATCTTCTCAGATGGAATTATTACAAGCACAAGGCATTTTCATTTCACACTTGACACAACAGGAAACCAATTGAAATATTTCTCTGTTAGTAGAGGCATTTTTAAAAAGAATGCAACAACATAGGGCTACCTGGTTATGAGCCTTATTGCAAGCTTGCATCTGCGCAGTAGGCTGGGTAGCCAATCCCAGGAGTCCTTAATCCCTTTAAGTCTAAGAGAAAATTGCTCAAAGAGGGGACTGTAATTACATCACACAGGAAGTTTTGTCCTGGGCCAGATTTGGAGCAGTTTTCTTTCTTTTTCAGCAGGTTTGGGAGTAGGATGCCTATGTTCTTTTCTAAGTCAGTAACAGTATCTTACAAAATAAGAAAAAGTTCAGAAGAAAAGTACAACAGAAAAAGAAAGGAAGAAAGAAAAAAAATTTTTTTAAATGTAAAGAGAATAAAAATAAATATGTAAATAAGAAAATCTCAGGATATGCCTTTTACAATGCATACTTGAGAGCTATGTTTTAAGAATCCAGCAATTCTTTTAGTAATAAATCATATACCTTTAAAAAGTGAAATAAAACATTTGTAGTAACAAAAGTAATGCTCCAGTAAAGAGAAAAGAGCAAATAAATCACTTAAGAAACTACATTCAGAAAACTTTAGTGACTATTTGGCAAAAAGGAATCCAGTGCTATAGAGAAAATACCTTTTTGTGGTAGAAGGTGGTTTCTGCTGGCTATTGTATTATCTATACAGAAACACTGAGATACTTTAAATGAAATGTTGATATAGACATATTAAAATAGAATTTCCCCCAAATATCCAAAATGCAAGAAACAGTCCAATTCTTGGGTTGTCTCTCCATGGATTATTTCAGTTTATAAATATATGTTGGTAATCACAATAGCAATTAGTTCAAATACATAATGGAAAGCCTTGTGTTCATCAGGGATGGTATCTATATATATAAAAGCCTAATATGCTAAGTGTCCATCTGGGTAATGACATCATGTAGCAATGCCCAGCTTCCTTTCCCTAGAGACTAGCCTCCTTGCAGTTTCTTCAGTCCAGGAACATGACTTGCTTTATAGCCAGGTGGAAACATGTTACACTTTAACCAAATGTCTGTGAAGTGTTTTCCCATGCCTCATCTCATTTGATCCTCACAGAAGTCCTGGAGTAGGTAGATAGGAGACTTGGTGGAATCCTATTTTCTTTTCATTAGCCAGAAAATGGAGATTTAGAAAGCTTAGAAACTTGACCTGACTGAAAAGAAGTAAGAAATGGTGGACCTTGAAAATGACTTCAGGTTTTCTCACTGCACAGAATATAGTCAAACACTGCTGCAGTTAAATATTTTACCCTTTGTTCTCCCTGCGTGATCTACAATAATAATCTGCTTCATGTTGATATTTACTGCTGTGTTGCTGACAATTACCTGAAAGAGAAGTTGGGGTGCTTCACTGGGCTGGAAAAAGTTTAGCTAATCAGAAAGCAGGTCTAAGTAAGCACGTTTATCTTAATAATAAAAGGGTAATATGCAAATTGACCCCAACAGTGAACAATCAGAATGACCACTCAATCAGTCACTATGAGGTGCACTGACCACCTCTTGGTCCCTTTCCCCATCCGGCAGGCTCTGATTGCCCGATGGTGAACAGGGAACCAGGAGTGGATGGTGGGGGATGTGGGTGGCACCAGGCCAAGGCCCCCACCCCACCAGTCACCCCACACATAGAGGGCAACCCGTGGCAGGGGCGGGGCCAATGAGTGGGTGGAAATGGCTGACCTCTTGGTCCCTTCCTCTGGCCATCAGGCCCTGATCGCCCAATGGCAAACGGGGAACCGCGGGAGGGGAGTGGCAGCGGGGGACGGGGCCTACTGTGGGCAGCTGGGGAAGATGGCCCTGATTGCAGGCCAGGCCTAGGGACCGTATCTGCGCACAAATTCCGTGCCCCGGGCCTCTAGTTCTATATATATAAAAGGCTAAGTTGACTCACATATGCGTGATCCATATAAAGCTCTTGCTGGTGCCAATCGCACACGTGTGTTTCCATCTGTCATTGTCAATCATGAATTTGGTTGACACTTCTATTATAGAGAAAGGGCGAATA